AGGCAATCTCACCATCAGTCACTGAAGGGAAAAAACAAGGAAGACTCACAGTAATAGTAGCCTGAACAGGAGCAAAGAGTTTGGAAAAGAAACCCACAGCCAGATCTTTAATACGTGCAGCATCCTCCACCCAAACCCCTTTATCATCCTTTAACCGTTCAATTCTATTTCTCCTTCTTCTAATTATAGTAGTGAGATGAAAAAACTTCGTATTTCTATCCCCTTCCTGAAGCCATTTCAACCTGGATTTCTGATGCCAAAATATAGCTTCTTGATCCAGGATAGAATTAAATTCATCATGCAGCTGCACTTCCAAATTACTCAGGAAAGAATTAGGCCCCTTACAAAGAGCTCTCTGGATCCCAGACAACCTAGCCACCACCCTTGCTTTCTTTTGCCTAAGATGCCCAAACACATTTTTATTCCACACCTTAAGGGGCTCAACAAAGGCACAAGACTTATCGAGAGCAGAACCAGAAGACCCCAACCAATTCTCAGAAACAAACTGATTGAACTCAGCATGCTTCAGCCACATTGCCTCAAACCGAAATGGTCGCAGATGAGGAGTATACCGAAGTGAAGACTGCAAGCAAATCTTAATTGGACTATGATCAGATTTAGTTCGAGGCAAGTGCCTCACATAAGCTTCAGCAAACACACGTCTCCAAAGGGTATTGCAAACAGCCCTATCAAGCCTTTCCAAGATCCTTTTATTGGTCCAAGTGTACTTAGGACCCGTGAAGTGCAATTCACACATATCATTCTCATCAAACCAAGCTTTGAACCCTCTTAAACGACCCCGAGGAACTCCACCTAACTTATCATCCAAATGAAGCAAATCATTGAAATCCCCAGCCAAGAGCCAAGGCATATCATGACAGCTTGCGACGAAACTAAGATACTTCCAGAGTTTAGCCCTTTTAACCTCACAGGGCTTAGCATAGATAGCTGAAAAGAGCCAAGGAGACTGTCCAGGCCAAGAAACACACGCAGAAATAGATTGATCATGAGTACCAATGATCTCCACATTCACCTTGGAATCATCCCAAAGCAGCCATAGACCTCCAGAAAAACCCACAGGATCAACAATCTCAAAACAAGGAAACCCCAAAGACTTAACCATTGATACAGCTTTAGAGCCACTTATCCTTGGTTCACAAACAAATAAAATCTCCATATGATGAACCCGAATCAATTCCATCATATTATTCCTAAACTTAGTGCCTGAAGCACCCCTTGCATTCCAACAAAGAATATTCATAAAGTCAACCAATAAAAAGTGGAGAACCTAAGGGCTAACCCTTAACAGTCAAAAGTCATATCTTCACCTGTTGTGAAGATATTATCAACCGAAACCCCATTGAGATGGTCCACATGGCTTGCAGCCAGGTTCATTTTCTCTGCTGGAATCAAGCCCTCCTGAGCAGGAACAGCCAAAGAATCAACATCTACATCAATATCCACCTCAGCCTCAGTATTAGCACAAGTAGTGGCTATGTTGGGTGGTTGATGGCCAAATTGGTAAACCCCTGTAGCCCGGTACGCATCTTGACCATTCGTCCAAATCTTCAACTGGTCATTCAAAGATATAATCCCACCAGCTTTCTTCCCCTCATAACCCAAATTACTTTTATTCACCAATTGACCAACTTTGAAAAAGCTAGCCTCCTTCACCTTACCAACAGTAGCTTGCACTTTCCCCTTTTCCTTGACATGCAGATTAGAAATGTCATTCAGGACAGTTCTAGCTTTACCAAGATTAGCCTTAGACTTAGTCCAAACTTTCGATCCCTTCCCAGCATCTCTAACCGATGATCCCAGCTGCTCAGTGCAAGTTTGGGTAGCCACACCCCCCTCAGTCCTACCATCAGTCCCAAAATTCTCACCCACCTGTCTCAACGCATCAAATCTAGAACCCGTATTTCGACCTCCCTTACCTCCAACTTCCTGAGTCACACCTTTAGGTCTCCGTCGTGCTGGAACATTCATCCATGGCCCACGCAAATTCTCAATACCAGCATTTCCCTCTTTCCTCATTACAGTATCACCTCCTACCAACCCATCATCACCCAAATTGGAACCATCACCAGTCTTCTCCACAGAGGTAGGATCTAGCACATCACAGTGCTCCCTTTTGTGACCATAACGACCACACAAATAGCAAATGTCTGGAAGGCCTTCATACTCCACATTATACCAAACATTGTTAATTTGGACAAAAGCCTCAAGAGGCCGAGACAAATCCAACTCCACACAAAGACGTGCAAATTTCCCCCGATTCTGAGAAGTAATGAGAGCATCAATCTTCAACAACTTCCCCACTAAATTCCCAATTCTTTTCAAAGCCCACACATCAAAACACTCCAATTGAATCGCAGAGACACGAATCCAAGCGGCCATTCGAGTGATCTTCTCAGTTGCAGGACAAAACCCAGGCCTCCATTTCTGCATAACCAAATATTGACCAGCAATGATCCATGGTCCCCCAGTCAAAACGAAATTAAGATCCTCCTCAAGCTCAAAACGAACCACAAAGTAATCATTGACCAAATCCACCAGTTTCCACCCTCCAATTAGGGTCCACTTTTGTTGAAGTCGAGCATGGAGATAGTTGTAGGTATGCGATCTCCCAAGGAGTTTGATAATGAGAGCATTCTGCCAAGGTTTGCAGAGACGATCCATGGCACGATCCGAAAACTGGATGCACGGCCCGCGATCACCACGAGAAATAGTCACATCCTCATCATCATTCAAACCCTCATATTCTGCCTCTAAGGTATTAACATCAATTCCAACATTATGAACCAGATTTACCTTATTCATAAGCTTGTCCCTAAAGCTCTCGGATCCAGAAGCCCATTTGGGTAGCACCGTGTCTGCCGAAGGCGGCACAGCCATGTTGGGCTCAGACATCATCTCACTATCCATAGCCCCAACGTCCGATGCACGACTTCGCTTGGGTACCCTGTAATCCTTAAGAAAAACTCCAGGTGAGCCTTCCTCCATGGAGAAACGACGCCCAAAACCACAATCACCAGCAAAAACCACTCAGATCTACACCTGGAAACCGCCGTCGATGGCAGTTCCCAGTCAGCCGCGAAGAAAAACGAAAACGCAGAAAAATTGGGATCGCGCGTGGAGCGCGTGTCAGAGAGCTCCTTTTCATTTCCTTACTCTTTCATTAATGTATTTCCTTACTATTTCTGCTCTTTCTATCTTTCTGTAAGCCATACTCTATCATGATTCTTCTGCGAAGGATGAGAATGCGAGGAAAGGTAAGAGGAGGAAGACGATGAGTTACATGAACAGACACAAGAAGGAAGAAGAAGAAGAAGAAGAAGAAGAAGAAGAAGATTTCAATTTCAATTTCATCTGCTTTTGTTTTGTGTTTGGGTTTCTGACACTTTGTAAGACAGATAGGAATTTATCTCTTTCGCTGCTCGAAGTCTTTTTGTATACGTGTCATACACGTGTCGCTTTGAGTATCTTTCTTTGCTTAGTCGGTAAGCTTTTGTTTTCTTTTTTCGATTTACTCTTTTCTTTTTCTTTAATTCAAGCGTAGTCTGTAAGCAAACAAAAAATAATAAAAAACCAAACCAATGGAGAAAAAAAATACTCTTTTTGTTCGGACCAAAAAAAACTTATGACACGTCACACAATTAGGGTCTGTTTGGTATCTTATTTGGATTCAATTCTATAAATTGAAAAATAAATTTTAAGTCCAAAGCCACAAAAATCAATTTGGTAGGCCCATTTTTAAAAACTCAAACCAAAGAAAAACTCAAAAACACCCCATTCTTAAAAACAAAAAATAATATATAATTTTATAAAAAAATTTCCTCTCTATCTCCTCCCTCTCTCTCTCTCTCTCTCTCTCTCTCTCTCTCTCTCCTCCCCCGTCTCTCCATATCTCTCCTCCCTCTCCCATTTCTATCATTCTCCTTCCACTCTCTCTCTCAGCATATCTAAACTTTTTTATGGTGTTCATTGAGGATGTCTAAAAATTTTAATTAAAAAAAAGAAGAAGGTGGACTCAGTTTGGGTGGGCTGAGGGAATTTGTGTGTGGAACCTAGGTGTGCCATAGTAGAGAGAGGAGGAGGAATGGGTAGAGGGAAGGGGGAATGGAGGAAGGGTTTGTGAAGAGGGAAGTGGGAATGGAAAAGTTGGTTGGAGCTGCTAGTGGCACACAGGGATCGGGGAAGGCGATTTATTTATTTTTTTCGATTTTAATTGTTTAAAAGATATACAATTTTTGTTATAATGAACTTTCCATGTTTAAAATACCATTGAAAATAGAAAGACTAAAATACCCTTAAAATATATGGAAAATTGGATAATTTTAAAGTCAAATAAAAAATCATGAATTTTGAAAAATTAAAGTGGCATTTCTCTTAAATTTTTCTTTAAGGTGACAAATTGAAACTGAGGTATAAGTTCAGCTGACATTTCTACAAATTGAATTGAGGTATGATTAGCATTTGTCTTAAAATTGTTGAGCGTTAGCAAGCAAAACATACATTCACTAAGGGAAATAAGAAGGAGAAGGTATAAAATAAAATCAGTGTCAATATATTTCCATGCACAACTACTTTAATTTTTAAGTGCATGTTTATTTACTTGTTAACGCTCAAAAATTTTAAGAGATGTTATGATCAGTTGTGCATGTAGCATTCTACTTTTAATATCCCAACTCCAAAAGTGTCTTCTAATTTGCAAGTGGAGGCATACTATTGTGATTGTCATGGGAACAAGGAAGAGAAGTGTCTTCTAATTTACAATCTATAAAAACAGAACATGGAAATAATGGTAGCATGAGCAGCTCATCCCATAGCATAGACAACCTCAGAAGATTTCATATTGAACTTCAATGAATGACCGTTTGCTTGTCAAAATTCTTGAAATGTATGGAAGCATTGAATATATGTAACATTCGAGGAATAAGCTATGATGTGTAGAGACAAAGCTTTTGTTGGAAACAACAATCAGTATCAAACTGTCCTTGAAGAATTCATAGACAAAGCTATAATCTTTCAATGCGGGACAAGAGGAAATTGAACTTCAACAATACGAGCTTTAACATCAGTTTAACATCAGTTTATCATCAGTTTAACATTGGTTTTCTTGCAAGAAAACCAAACGATGACGTGCCCCCCAGTGTTTAACATCAGTTTTTCTTGTTTGAGATGAAGAATTCTTCATCAACACAAAGAGAGCTTTTCCATGTGGTCAGATCAGATGAAGGCCGCCCCTCCAAACACAAATGAACCATCTGCAGGACAAGATAGCTCTGATCAAAGGGCTAATAGAAAGCATATAATAAGGATGTTAAGTTTATTGCTGTCGTTAAGTATCGCTTTAGTAAAAAACATGTGCCCCTTCCACTGCCTTCAAAGGACCTTGTAAATTATCCGAAAGATTAAGATGGATGGTTCCGAGCAACGGTCTAGTGCAATATAAACAAAGGTGCCAACTTTCAAATATAAAAAAGCAAACTTACTTTTCTGTTTTGATTTCACTAAGGTCAATTGGTGAACCTCCCCACAATCACCTACAAGATCATGTGATGATGGTCAGTAATGAGTAATCCTGTAAGCTTCATAATACAAGGAACAGAGATTGCGAGAGAGTGGAGCAATACCTTGGAGAGATCTCAGCCCTATGTTTTCTGCTACAGCTTTCATTCTTTCTCGAAATCCTCAACTTCAACACATCAGAGCATGCATTTCCTGAGTTTGTTGGAAGATGATAAGGTCATTCTACCATAAAAGAGCATGCAATGCGCTTTAGTTTTCTTCAGTAGTAAATGTAAATAGAATATAAAATTGTTATTCCCTAAGAATCAACAAGTGAAAGAAGAAGGGCTTCCATTAGCAGCAGTTACCTTGAAATCTCAAAATACACGGGTCAAGTTCGGGTAGTTCCCATTGGGAATCTTACGCAGAGAGTCTAGAGATACAACAAAGAAAAAAAATTCTAATGAAATGGAACTGTAGTTCGAATAATTGCAGCAAGCAAACCTTTCGGATGTGAAAGACACAGAAAAGGACCAACAGAATTTTACCTTCATGTGTTTTCTCATACTTTTCCTCATCAGATTTTGAAAAGCCAGTGAGGATTTCAACTCAATTGCTTTCCATTTTCATGCAAATCTCAGCTCAACAAGATACTCCTAAGTTCAAGACATTAAGAATTGGATCGTTAGATTCATCTTAGAATATGAACAAACTAATTTCTCTAGTTAACCCCAACTCGTGTAGCTTCTGAAAACTAATTTCCAACCAACAAGTACGTACAAGAAAATAGATATGAAAGAGACACTGAAAAATGCATATTCAATTATCAAATGTTATAATCAATGGCACGGCAATTAGGTAGACTTATATCAATCCAATTTGTGCTTTGTTTTGAATTTGAATCATAAACATCTAGTTGTGTAATACTTTCTTAACATACCTGAAAAGTTTTTGAATTGGAACAGGAACTTTGTCTCCAGTAATGAGAACAGACCTGGGCATCCATCATATATTTCTAATTCTTCAAGACATTATTCCATGTTACGAGTAGTACTGGCCCTTTCATCATGTAGAACCCCACACCCAGACGACAAGATAAGTCTTTCAAGCAAGTAAGATGTGAAGGCAAGCTTCCTCTTAGCTTCAGACACTTGTCTAAATTCAGGTCCTTGAGATGAGGAAAATCTGGACACCGGCCTTCTGGTCTTCATTCCTCCCACTCTGGCAAATGAGTAAATCAGATGAGAAGGCATTGATGTTATCTATTACAACAATGAGGAAGCAAAATAAACCAGGGAGAGTGCACCAATTGTTTGTTTATTGCCCAGTATCTCAAATTTGTGGTATGTATTATTCAGGAAGGCTGGAGTGAGTTGGCTAACATCAGAAAGGGAGGAATAGGATGGTTTTCGACAATTATAAGGGGTTGGGGATGGAAGAGCTTCCGAATAGGGTGAGGTTCCTATCTTCACCTTGAGCATTGGTTTAATCAGAATTCATGGATGGAAGGCAGCTCAAGGATAATTTCTTTGTTAAAGCTCTTACAGTTGTACGTTAAATCTCTTACAGTTGTATTTCTCTTAAGATCATATCTGTTCCTGTTCTGTGATGGACGAGTACTTGTTCACATCTGTGGTATTTTACTATCTTTTTTCAATAAAAAAATGTTTCTTCTAAATAAACAAGTCATTAATGAAGTGTGCAGCATTAATATTCATTGCATAAGGAACACTTATGTGATTCCCTACCGGAGGAAAATCATAAATGATGTTTCCTCAACGTCGTCTGTCCCAGAACATCAGCTCTCCCAGGTTATTCATACATATGTACACATTTTCATCCATCTCAAAGGAAACTCATAAATGACGTTTTCAAGTTATTACGTAGAGAAAGGAATTTTATGATGAAAGATTACCTAATCATGAATGGACAGTGATGCTTGTTATGTTAGATTGGGATCCGTTTTCCACATTGTCCAAATGCTGGTCTCTTGCTAGAGCTCCACCTTGAGAACAATTCCTTCCCCTTCTTTGCCGCAATTTGTTTGTCGAAAAACAACAATCCATATACAATGGTAAACTCTCCTCGGGCATGGTTGCCTACACAAGTGTTGCTTTGACCTCCAAACATGGGAAAGTTTCTCAAGTCTGCAAGTACACATCCAACATTTCAAGTCTCATCAAATAGAACTTTGTAGCTGAAGGAATGATTTGTGGGACAGAAAAAAAAAATTCATTTGCAGATAAGATATTATATGCATATCTACACAATCATATAGATAAAGCTACTAGGTAATGAAGCAGCAGCTGGACCAGGGAGATGGGGAAAAGGAAAGTTGCCTCCTTTGAACCATGAGACTAGTATAAATTTACCATGTCAATCTTTTCAGTTCAACAAAACCATTTAGTATGTATGTAAGATAATACAATAACCGCTGGTAAGAAATTGTTTTTGTTACTGCTGATTTTTATATTTAGAAAGTACAACAATTAGAAGAACAATCTGACAAACGTCAAAAGCACGTCTTCAAATATTCGATTGTCGGAAAAATAAAAATGAAATTCGCACCATGAAATACATGAACTATTCGGAAATTGATTCTCTGATATTTTTTTTTTTGTAAGTGTTAGAAAGTACACCTCCAAATCTTCCACAAAAAAATCTAATTGCGACTTTCGATTTGACACGTACTTTCATTAGAAGGAAAAAAAAATATTACAAAACAGGGGACAAGTTAACACAACCTCAAAACAGAGATTAAACATCCTAACAATACATGAAGAAATTTAAATACATGCAATTAGAAATGAGATGAAATATTAATGGAGAACCCAAAAAAAATGTGCTGAACAAATGAATATGAATTAAATAAATAAAAATGTGCTGAACAACAGAGAGCGAGCCAAATGAAAATGGGAAGAAGCATTCGATGCAACTGCAAAGGTTAATTGGATGCCAAATTATTTAAAATGTGTATTTCGGTTTATTTGGCATCCAATTAACCTTTGCATTGAATTAGAAGAAAAGCAGTTAAAGCGGTTATTTGAAGTACATACTTGACCTGAGTTTGTTTGTCTCATATCATCATATGGTCACTTCATCATTTATCTGGATGCATGGAATGTGAGATATGCTGGCCCAATGATCTTGTCCCGTCTTATTCTCATACCTTTTCTCCAGGGCAGAACAAATGTAGATGTACAGAAAAGAAAGAGATGGCGGTAGACCCTCTTCTGGCAGGAGTTGGAGACTCGGGCAATCGGAAATATGTAGCTCTTGAAGAGAAGTGAGGTGTTGAAGTGCCTCTCCTGGCAGGAATTCCAGACTGTCACACCCAGCAATAAATAGTTCTTGAAGAGAAGTAAGGTGTGCAAGTCCCTTTCCATCCAAAGATGTCAGAGTTGAAAGTTCCTTGATGTGGAGACTCTGAAGAGTGGTAGGGAGCAATTGTTGCCTGAGCAACGTCTCCAAGATTTCATCACTTCCCCTGCCACCAATATTAAGGAATTTAAGGGAGACAAGTGCTTGCAAACCCCAGTTACAGTAGTCTCCCACTGATGAAGATGAAGCCCTCAGTCTCTCACAATTCTCAATTATAAAATATCGGAGGTTGGGAGGCAAACCCCCATCTTCTGCAATTGACTCCAGATTTTGAAGATCTCTTATATTCAAAGTTCCAACGGCTGCGAGGGTGTGAATGCGTTCAGGTAATGACTTCAACTTCTCGCATCTACTGAAACCCAATCGAGTCAGGTTGGGAGTGGGCAATCCTCCCTGGGGAAAACACACCAGATTTGGACAGCCTTCGATATTTAAATGATTGAGATGACTGAGATTCTCGACCGCTCCTTCTTCTTCAATCAAGCAAAGCGATTCCAGATTCTCACAATTCACAATAACAAGTGTCCTCAATTTGGGAAAAATGCCCAAGGGGAAGGACCTCATTGAATCACAGCTATTCACTAGCCACAAAGAGAGAAGCGATGTTAATTGTGCCAACATCTCAAGAGGTAGGAATTCTAATCTCCTACAACTGTTAATCTCAAGTGAGGTCAACGAAGTGGGTAGGCCATCTTCAGGGAACGACGATAGGGTTGGACAATTCGAGAGAATCAAACTTTTAAGACCATTGATGTTGGGCAAGCACTGTATGTCATTAAAACGTCCAATGTAAAGTCGGGATAGGAACTCTGTCTCTAGTAATGATAACAGACCTGTTTGGAACTTTGTCTCTATTTCCAATTCTTCAAGACAATTGTAGTTGAGACTAGTACTAGACTAGTACTAGTAGTAGCAGTGGCCCTTCGATCTGTTAGAATTCTTAGTTTCAGCATTTCATATTTTGGATATTTTGGGAGCAAAGAAGGAAAAAACACAGAAAGATTGAGAGAACGTTGCTTAGAGGAAATGAAAAAATGCTTCTGTGTATTTCATATATCAGTTCGACTGTTTTTGGGTATAATCGTTTAGGCAAAGAGAAGAAAAAAGGAGATATTCTTCCCTATACCATATTTACAATAAGCTCAAGTTCTAGCATCCTATTAGATGCTTAGAACTCTGTCTCTAGTAATGATAACAGACCTGTTTGGAACTTTGTCTCTATTTCCAATTCTTCAAGACAATTGTAGTTGAGACTATTACTAGTACTAGTAGTAGCAGTGGCCCTTCGATCTGTTAGAATTCTTAGTTTCAGCATTTCATATTTTGGATATTTTGGGAGCAAAGAAGGAAAAAACACAGAAAGATTGAGAGAACGTTGCTCAGAGGAAATGAAAAAATGCTTCTGTGTATTTCATATATCAGTTCGACTGTTTTTGGGTATAATCGTTTAGGCAAAGAGAAGAAAAAAGGAGATATTCTTCCCTATACCATATTTACAATAAGCTCAAGTTCTAGCATCCTATTAGATGCTTAGAACTCTGTCTCTAGTAATGATAACAGACCTGTTTGGAACTTTGTCTCTATTTCCAATTCTTCAAGACAATTGTAGTTGAGACTATTACTAGTACTAGTAGTAGCAGTGGCCCTTCGATCTGTTAGAATTCTTAGTTTCAGCATTTCATATTTTGGATATTTTGGGAGCAAAGAAGGAAAAAACACAGAAAGATTGAGAGAACGTTGCTCAGAGGAAATGAAAAAATGCTTCTGTGTATTTCATATATCAATTCGACTGTTTTTGGGTATAATCGTTTAGGCAAAGAGAAGAAAAAAGGAGATATTCTTCCCTATACCATATTTACAATAAGCTCAAGTTCTAGCATCCTATTAGATGCTTACACATGTCACTTAAACCTATGCTAGAGATTAAAACACTTGGACTGTGATCCAAGGGTGCACAATAAAGCTGAAGAAAAAATAAACAACTAAAAGAAATAAAAAA